GCTTTAACAAAACATTTAACCAGATTATCCGTTTATCAGTTTTATTGGTTTATCAGGTTTATAGGTCACTCTCTATTCATACAAATTGGGGCCTGGTCTTATATGACTGTAAATAACTGCTCATCAGGGTTGACAACACAACACTGGACAAAACCATACAACAGTGGACAGAAACACTCCAGCTGCAAGCAGTCCTTTTATCACAGTCCAGCATTTATACCACAGTCACCCCTGAGCTGTTGCTGGTCTTAGAATCTCCAAACAGAGTTAACGTCCGTTCACACTGGGTTTATTCTGCTGCACATTGGGACTCTATAAAATGTTTTGACTCTCCCCGTCGGGGAATCGAACCCCGGTCTTCCGCGTGACAGGCGGAGATACTGTCCACTATACTAACGAGGAAGAGATACTAACAGTGTCGCTGCACAGCCTGTCATCTGTGAGATACAACCGAGGTTTTGTTACATGACAGATTTAACATTTAAGACTGTACCATAACGCAACCTCAACTTACTACTGATCCTCAACAACCAAGTTAGGTGAGGAGCCTTTACTGAAACAGCACATCAATGAACAATAAACCTCTACAGCGGGGACACAGCTGATCCGGACAGCTGCTTTACTGCCCTGTTGCGGCTCCACAGACTCAGATTTCTAGATAACATTAAAATAATCCTCCTTTGCAGTAAAATAAAGCTCTGCTGATCGTTCTAACACAGTTTTAACGATAAATGGTCTTAAACGCTGGAGTTAATGTATAACTGCATATTCACCCTTTAATCCTGAAGGTTGGCGCGCAGACTACTGGTCACCATAGCAACACAGGTAACAGTGTCGCCTAGCTAGTTGCTAACGAAAAAGACAAATTGACTTATTTGCATTTATAATCGCTCCAGCTGGTTCACTGATATGTTTAATCTGCAACGAGAAACTGTCAAAAACTAAAAAGTGCCGAAGCTGAAGTCAGCTTCTTTTCCCGTTCCACCTTAAATGTGTAGCGGTTACATTCTGGCGCCTCAGGCGCCATTTAAGGTGGAATGGGACAATTCGAACAAGAAGCTGCAGAATGACAAGCTGACTTCAGTCAAGTCAAACGTTGAGAGACATTTCACTAGAAACTACTTTACTTTTGTGGGAAAATAGCGATATCTTGCTGAAGATGCGAGAAAAGCGGCTACAGCTGAGCCAAAGCTTAAAGCAGAGCAAAACAAGTCTGCAGTTTCATTTATATTTTTTAGCCTATACTGGGACATCAGCACATACCGAGATATGTTTACAGCCAAGGCAGTGAAATGGACATAAAATATTGCGGCTCTTGAGGCAGATTGATTTTTGGTGAAAGGACAAAACGGCTCTTCTTAACATTGGGGTTGCCGACCCCTACCCCCCAGTAATATCTGTCTGCAGAGCCGCAGAGCCACAGTTTCACTCCAACAGGTTCAAATCAGCGGCGTTCAGCGCATGCGCCGACACTTGATTTTTCTTAGCGAACTTTAGAGTAATCAAAATTACAGTCGTTGTATGTGGATTTCGAATAAATTTGCGCTGGGCTAACGTTATATTTTAAGCTAAAACAAACTTTGGTTTGAACGCATACAGAGATTCACAGAGTAAATATTACACGGACTACAGCTGATGTATCCTGGGTAAACTAATGGGTTATGTACACATATAGCTCAGTTAACTCACCTTTAATACTTGGGCTTTATGTGTACACTTACATTACATGCACAGAACAAAACCTCACCTTAAGCAGGCTTAAACTGAGCATAATATTAAGCTTTTACGCTAAAACAAACTTCAGTTTTTGAACTTATCCTTGCTGAAAGAAACCATTAAGTGTTGCTTTTGGTTTCTGGTGGTTTCGTAATGCGTTTTGGTTTATGGATTAACCAGTTACCAATGGTTAATTCGTATATGGGTAGCGGTCTCCGTGAATGGTAGTTAATATGCATGGCGACACATACAACCAGCACAAACAGTCGCTGATGTTACAAATGAGGAGATCGGCCACTGGTTTAAATATGACTGTGAAGCTCGTAACGCTCAATTTACCTATTAGGACTTTGTTTACATGGCATATCGCGCTGTCGTACTGCGCATGCGTTCCACTGGCCTGAAACAGCAGGCGCGAAACTGCGGGTGCAAATCTGCGACTGTGCGCCTCTGCAGTCAGACCCTTCTCGACCCCTGCCTTAATGCAACTTGTAAAACGGATAGTTCCGGTCCTAAAATCTGATTGGCTAAGCCCCGTTCGAAGTTATTTTCAAATCAAAGATATAGGCACACCTATGACCGCTTCACAACAACTGAACTGTGTATTACTGCGCCAAGGCACAAAAAAATCCTTGTGTTGTTAACGGAATAACCTTTGACTCTCACGCTGCTCGCATGGACCACCGAGTGTATTGATGAAGTAAGAACCAGTTTTTTGTTTAAACTGAGGGGCTCGTTAATGTTCGTAACTAGAACTAACGTTAAGTTAGACTGGTCAGTTAACTAGCTAAGAGGCTAAAATATAGTTAAACAACAGTTAAAACAACTAGCTACATCATTAATATCACGTTTGAGTTAAAGTACTTACGATATGATTCGTTGTAAAACGGCAGTACAAAAATGTCACTTGAATGAATTACATGCTTCAAATGCCCGTGTTTCAGTCAGAAGTAACGTTCGGCTGAACCCAGGCTGAATCCCAAACGGCTCCGTACTCCCTAAATAGTGAGCTAGCTATGCAAAAAATTCTGATCTCTACAGCCAAATAGTGTATCTTTGTATGGATGTGGCTGAGTCCCAAATGACCGTTGGGATGCAGAATCAAGTATTTAAATTTCTACGTAGTGCACTAACGCTAGCTATGTAGGGAGCAGGAAGCCGTTTGAGATTGAACCCCAGCATGAAGAGGGTCGCGGCTGGATTGGTGCTAAATAAGACTGGCGGTGGTAATTTGGTGACCAAAAAGTGCTTATAAAGCGAAGATTTTTGCATTAAACACTGCTGTGTTATCATATGTTCATAGTTATACAACAAAAATATACAGCGATGGGCGACCAAACGTTCTTCTCGTTCAGTGGTCCATGGTTGCTCGGCAACGACAACAACATACTCTAGAGGTACTACATTTTTGGCGGATTTATCGTTTATGTCTATTATTATTAATAATGACAAATTAGTTTCTGATAAACCGTGTATTTTATTATATTTTATGTTGGTTATCGTTTAATAAACGCAATAAGCTGTTCAATTCATGAATTATAATTGTTGTAAACCATCATACATGCGATGTGATACGTGTTTTTAAGAAAATATGTGTGTTTCTGTTTTTATAACAAGTATAGGAAGCCCCACGATTAGGCAGGGCCACAAAAAATTAGATTAAACTCATGATGTTCCTCCCCACGGAAATCTTTAGTAAAAGGCGAAAGATTTATACGATCTGAAGAGAAACATGAGTGTACTGAGAATTTAGTCGTCAGGATGGGGCCACACCAACACTGATACATTTCCACTGGATGGTGAACTGACTACCACAAACACAGTCTGAGCGTTAAAACAGCGAATAACATCCACAAGGAACAGCGGCTCTGTGTCCTGAACGCTCAGTCTGTAAAGCAGAAATGACGTTAAATAACTTAAATTGTGTAACCTTGAGGTTCGCAATGCATCATGGGTAACGTGCAGCAGCAGCTCGTCCTGCCATTGGCTGGTTTACTGAGAAAGTGTGATTGAACACATTTATCGGACACTGTTGACTCTTTATCTGTTTGTAAGTGTTTATATTTTCTTTTCCGAATAAACTCACCGCCTCGACTCTCCCGGTTCAGTGACAGTCGAACGCTGGTTAGAATTACAAGACGGAAAACCTAAAGGGCAACTCCACCAATTTTCAAAAAGTTCTACATAATTAACTGGTTAAGACGTAAGCAAAGTCATTCAGAGTGGTTTTTTTTTGTGAAACGCTTCGTTCTAGAGAAACATACCGAGTCAGAATTGTTCACAGTGGTGGCGTCTGAAGAGTTTAATGCCTCTAAAAACTCTTTCACAGAAAGTTACTACACAAAATGTTTGGGAATGCGCTGCCTGGTGTCCAAAACAGTTTTTACGATAGTTTTGGCCTAAAACGTCTTGTTTATCCGTTTATTTTAATCCATTCATTTCGTATGGGTACATGCAGGGCGTTGTGAGGCAAAATAGCCCCCTCAAAAATGTACTTTTCAGCTGTTCCACTGTTTTACCATCATCAACATTACATATAAACCACACTCCAGTCGCACCAGGGCGGAGTGATACCAGAACGAACCGGTTCATTTGAACGGCTCTTTGGGATGAACGAACGGAGCCGAGTCGCTCTGGAGAGCTGTTCTTTTTATCGTTGTGTTCAAATTTCACAGCGCCCCTCTAAATGCACTACGCCCCCCACTGAGCGGTGAGAACCGGCCAGTCTCAAGAGACCGACTGGATCTCAGTGCTGGTTCTGACAAGAGACAGACGTCGTTGCGTCATGATCCTTAAAGGCAGGATGAGCAGGATGGGTCGGTTGCTGTTCAAACACACCATTCAAAGTTGTTCCCTTCGGCTCAATGCGAGACAGAGAAAGAGAAATCGTGGTCGAGCGAGCTAGAGAGTTAATGAAGAGAGTGAGTGGAGTTGGCGAGGGCAAAGCAGTGAATCAGAGAAAGAAAACTAACGTGTTCACAGTACAGATCACTGACATTAAGTCTGGCGATGGGAGTAATTTAGTGCTGTTAAACCTTCCACACATGCGAAACAAAATTATATCGGTGGGATGTGAAGTTTGAGTCTGATCCAAATCTCATCTTTTTATTGTCTTGGTGATCATTTCTCTGCTTTCTAAAACAATACAAGAACAAACCAATTCACACCTTAATTTATATAATTAGTCCCCATATAATGCATTCTTAGGCTCTTTCGTATAGTACAACATGTACTTCCAATAATTTTTTGTGCTATGTGCTTTTACTTTTGTACCAGAATAGGAAGCCCCGCTGATGAGCAGGACTACAAAAAATTGGGTAAAACTCATGATGTTCCTCCCCACGGAAATCTTTAGTAAAAGGCGAAAGATTTATACGATCTGAAGAGAAACATGAGTGTACTGACAAGATAGTCGTCAGGACGCGGCCACACCAACACTGATATATTTCCACTGGATGGTGAACTGACTACCACAAACACAGTCTAAGCGTTAAAACAGCGAACAACACACAGAACCAAAAGCAGCTCTGTGTCCTGAACACTGAGTCTGTAAAGCAGAAATTACATTAAAAAACCTAACTTATATGAGCGCGGGGCTTGCAAAGCATCATGGGTAACGTGCAGCAGCAGCTCGTCCTGCCATTGGCTGGTTTGCTGTTTCCGCGGTTGAAGAGTTTAAATAGATTGTAACAAACAAGACAATAAATGTGTTCGACGGATTCGCGTTTAACACTAAATATGCAACAAACACAGAGTAATATGTTGTATGAGATGTCTAACTGATCGATACAGAGTTCGTAAAGGCTGTCAGGTCTCACTGGGACGCTTAAAACAGTCCTTAAACTCTGCCAGCGCCAAGAGAAGAGAAAGAGAGAGGCCTCAGTAACGGACAGTAAACGAAGAGCTCGAACCGCTTTAGGGCGCTGATACTAAAACTGTGCGTCCGAATAGCTGAGAGAAACTTACTGTTTTCCTTTATTTATTTAGCCTGACCTGGTAGCCACGAGGATCATTCAGCTCTGCGGATGCAGCTTCTGACCCTGACTCCTCTGCTGCTAGGTACCCCCTCCTCCTCCTCCTCCTCCTCCTCCTGTCCCTCTCTGACTCCTCACAGTGTTTCTTCTTCATGCTTTTCAGGACACAGACTTCTCAGAAGCTGATTTGTGACGATGTATGATGTAAAAAGTGCCACATAAATACATTTTGAATAAATACATTTGAATTTAATACCTAAAGACACGTCAAATACCTACAGAGATCATATACGATACGAAGTAGCTCTCTGGCGACACGCAGCGGCTAAAAAAAAACAAAAACAGAAAGAGAAAGGCCTGATGTTGGGGATTTAACTCTGAAGCCAGTGACTCAGTGTGCTGAAGTCACATCATGGTAGAGCAAAATTGTGTAGATACTTACACTGCTTTTCTAATTTAATGGAAAAATGTCTTCAGAGGTGTAGTCAGGGTTCGCTTCTCCTTTCTCAGCTGTTTACTTCATCACATGGTCCAGCATCTTAATCGACTCTCTTCCGGTTAACTGTAATCTTCTCCACTCAGGTAAATATGTATAAAATATGATAAAAAGTCAATGAAATCGTGCGGCTGCGTCTGCACATTTTAAAATCTGTAGTTAAAGGTGAGTGTTTATTCTCTGAACTAATACCAGTTACTCCATCCTCTCCTTCGCTATTATTGGCTTCATGCTGAGCTTCACTGGATTGGCTGAGCTCCTTGGTTTGAGAAGCCAATCACATGATAGTACGCACTGACGTCACTACAGCCCGGACAAAGCAGGTGGGGAACTGTCAATCATTATTTGCTTCAGCCAGTCAAGTAAAGACTAATACATGTCAATCACATTTTGCAGTGACCAATTGTAGTCAGAACTAGCCGATCATTATTCTTTACAAAGTCCTGTTTAATTTCTTTCTTAACTTGCCCTCACTCACTTTGACTCACCACTCGGGTGTGTGTGTCACTCCTTCGTTACACAACTGTCCACTCGGTGCAGAAGTGGAGGAGGAGACGGTGAGGAGTGTTTTATTCAAACGGTAAACACTCACACTCAGCAGGTCAGCCTCTGTGAGCTAACTGGCTAGTCATGTAACTATGCATTGCAAAACATTTTATAGAGGTTTGGGCACAACGTACATAACGTCTGTAAATATTTTGTCTGGCTGTAAACATGGAGGTGGACTGCGGAGTAACGTTAGTTCCCTTCTTTTTGTTCTTGTTAGCTGTGTAGCCTTTAGCATGCTAACGAGGCAGCTAGCAGAGGACAGTGATGAAGTTGTATCAACAGTCGTTTATAACAGATGGAGTAGTTTGTAACTCAAAGCCGAGCAAACTGAATTTTATGGTTTGAAATGTTAAGCATAGTAGTTTATTTCTATAGATTATAAACAGCTTTGTCCGCCCTTATTTTCCAGTTTGAAAAGGGAAATGTGTCAATTCACAATGACCCAGAAGATGGGTCTTCCAGGAGCAGGTTTAGGTTCCAGTTCAGCCCAGCAGGGCTGTTCAATTTCCTGAACGTCTTGAGTCAACCTCTGATTTCAAGTGAATAGATGGAGTTGATTCAAAGAGCTGATTCCAAAAGTCATAAGTGAGTTGATGCTGCTGTTTACACTGCAGTACTGTGATGTACACGGTAACTGCTGTGGGCTACAGTTACCCTGAAGATACTTGCAGGGCTCCTGTGAGAACAGAAGGCGATATATTACAAGGAAAACAATGACATATTGATTGCAGCCAGCAAAGCTAAATGTTGATACGACACTTTGTTTTTTTTTTTCCGTTTTTTTTTTCTTTTTTTTACAGTTTTCAGGTTTTATGAATGAAAAACACCACAGGATTGTATTTTGTGTCTCACACTCTGTGCCTTTGGTTGCATACGAAAATAAATGCCATGGTGTTGAATTGAGTACTTGGAATCAAAGCTTTGGAGTCAACTTTCGATTCCCGAATGCATGGAATCAGAGAATCGATTCTTTCTGGGATTGACTCACAGCTCTATTGTTTAGTGAAGCTTAGATTAGGGTTCTGCCGGAAAACCAGTTTACACTACGCTGACTATGTCCAGGAAATTAAGGATTTTTTTTCTGTTTGGAAATGCAAATCTGTAGTAATGGCAGGAAGTCTGCATCATTTTGTTCACAAATACATTTTCTTTGGTTATAATACTGGGGGTGTACTTAGTGTCGGTTTGACCCAAATGGTGGGCCCTGGTGTTAGCTTGTTAACTACATTGGCCTCATCACATGTGTAAAAGCCTCATGTTCAATGTAAAACTAAACAAAGTAAATGTTGGACAAAAAAAATGTCTGTGGACTATAGGTAACAGGCTATTTACGGCAAAATTTACTTCTCAAGGAAAAACAGTTCAGTGTTTATTTTATATTTAGTTTTATTTTTTTAAAACGGCTATATAGGACTGATTATTGTGGTGGAAGTAAATTTGGATGTGCATAATCTTTTTATGTGGAAATAATTATATATTGAGTTTTGCATACAGAAAGCTTTCTTTTTATGTAAACGTCATGTTTTTATCAATTAGTAAATAAAATCATGTCCCTGTTGTAAGTAGACCACACACAGTAGACTTTATGCAACATTTTATTATTTCTTTGCCAGTGTTCACTGATTACTTTTTTATTTATCTTCTTTGTTCTGTACAAAATCTCATTAGACATTATGTGCTGTTACAAACACATACAACTGGTCCTTGGATAAGAAAGGGATCCTTCTGATTTTTCCAGGTCAGATGGCAGGGTTATACTAAATGTGTGCCAAATGACGTCTCAGCACACCTTTTTGTTATGTTTCATGACCGACTGATACTTTACAGTACATTTGTCTTGTACTTAGGATGTCATATATATAGAACCCACCAGATTCTGATGCAAACTGTTTGTGTAATACAAACTGTGCTGATTTGAGTTTAAAGAGGTGCTGGATAGTTTTTTCTATTGTTATGTAAGTGGCCTCTGCAGTGAAGAGCTCAGTGTTTTCTCTGGGTTATGCCTGGTTCTAGCCTTTATAATCTGAATATTTATAAGGTAAATGTTACAACCCTGACTCTTTTATGTTGCAAACTGAAGTTTAGCTTTGCAGTGCTGAGGCCCTCCGGTGATTGACCCTGACGCACCTGCTCTATATGTTTATACAGGCTCATCATTTTGTGTGGAAACCTCCAGCCCTGTCACAGTGATTACCATTTGAAAAAATGTACATTTTGGGACGTCTTCTTCCTCTTCTTAAAAATCTAGGTGTAGGATAGAGCATGTTACCTAATAAACTGTGAAAATTCAGCAGTTTGTGATCCAGTTATGACCTTTTCCTGATCATCCCGCGCGTGAACAGATGAGATACGATTTTCTTTCTCATATCTCATAAAATAGCACATCAGCACACAGGCCTTTTACTTCTGTTTACTTTTTCCCCATTACCATACAAATCGACAAGCTCGGCTTGGGTGTTTTTATCAGCCCTGAGTGCTAGAAGGCACATAGTTTCAGGATAACTCCAGCCTCCTTGTTTCCTTGTTTAGCATCTCACCTGCTAGTCAGTCCTCAGGAGATGAATTATGTTCATATAAATGTATGCAGATAAAGAAAATGCATTCCATTTACTGTGTGTTGAATGTGGTCAAGATCCACCTCTGGTTTGAGGGATCCTATCATAATCCAATCACAATGCATGCTGGGTTTATTTACAATGTGACTTTTCGTGCAGTGAGGTGAACAGGGTTGTTATTTCTGAATGTAGTGTTGGTTTAGTTGTGTAGGCTATAGCTTTAAAAGCAAGTAAAACCTTTTTTTGTCTTTTTTTTTTATCAGTGCAGAGCATTTTGGCCACAGTTTCAATAGACTTTGGAATAAATGGCATCATGCACTCAGTCATGATATGGAGCTTTTTGGAGCAGAAACTATCATCTATACATCTTTCAAAAGCATGCCTTCAGGTTCGCAAAAAATGCCTCATGACTACAGAATTGAGCTCGTGTGATAGTCATATTAGTCCTCTGTTTGTCTGTTCCCCTGAAAAGCTGTTGCTTTGGAGATTCAGGGACTTTGTGTTACAGCTGCGTATCATACCTTTCACTTTCTTTGCTTTAAGTCATGACATCATTGTAACCAGTTAATCACAAGGAGTTAAACTGAGGTGTTAAGAGTGTAAATTTGTAATGTGTTTAATAAGAAAGGAGTTTTAATACAATGTTTAGCCCTTCAGTTCCTCTACATTCATGTGTCTTATGGTGATTATTTTGTGTGTGTGTGTGTGTGTGTGTGTGTGTGTGTGTGTGTGTGCGTGTTTGTTTATATGTCTCTCTTTGATGGGAGGACATTTTTCACAAAGAAAAAAACTAAATAAATTAATGGAGAAACTTAATGAGTGCAG